GGGCGTGTCTAAAGATAGCTCAAAACGTTCCATCCAAACGAAAAATTTTACCACTTCAATGCGCTTCATTGCAATTCAGACAATAATACAACGTAATATACATGTAAGAAAATTCATTTTATTTCTCTCCAATAGAATTTCGATATAGCTTGATCAAAGCGATTACATTTTGTAAATGTCGAAGATTGGTCTGATCATGCTAGCTGATCAATGAACATTTTCGAGACAAAATAGTGAGTCGGTTGTAAGTCCCTACTTACATGCACTAAATATAATTAACAACATTGTCATTATTGATGCCCTGATTGAGTGCTATCCGTGAAGAAGATTGACTTTGTTTATTTAAAGTATGTACGCACGTGTGTGAGAAGGGGGGGGGATCCACACTAAAATTATTCCAGGGAGTGTTGAGATCTGCAATTTTATGTATTGCAATAAAGTAGTGGCATGGCGACATTTTCATTTTTTTCTCTTGGTGACAGATTATACATATACATATTGCATAAGCTAATTGATTTCATTACATATCCTTTTATCAGTGCATGTATCCCCTCCCCTTTTTTAATTAAGCATATGTCAGGTATATATGTATATACACATGTATATATAACTGGATGGTTTGCAGTCTGTTGTTTTTTGGAAACCATTCAATTAACTCTAGATGATTTGTTGTTGATTTTTTTTTTCAATCACCCCCCTCTCTTATTCAAGATTGTTTCGAACGCAACGATCTGTATAGATTAATACAGTATATTTTACAGGTATATTTATAAGAAGGGTTTTATTTTTCCCACCTTGGTTTATTATAAGGTAAGGGTATATTTTCTTTATTAAAAGAAAAATAAGTAACGTCAGGTGCCTGTGCAATATAGCTATACTATACAATAAATAGGCCACGGTGATCAAATTTTTGATTGAAATTCTAAGGCCCCAAGATGCAACAACTTATGATATTTGATGATTTTAGTGTCTGAAATGTTTGAGAATAGATTCGCCATAAAATTCAAAACGTAGGCCACGGTGACCTACTTTTAAGTTGACGTTGTTTGAGAACCCAAGATGCCTCAACTGACACTGTTTGATGATCATAGGCCTTAAAGTGTCCTAAATATACCTCAACATTTTTTTTAAACAAATGCCCGCAAAGAACTATATGCGGTATTAACCAACATTTGCCCCCCAAAATCAAACTTTGATGGAGTAATATTTAATTAAGTCCTTAAACAGGGGAGTATATGCTGACTTCAAAGCACTGAATAATTTTATAAGTAATGACGTCATATGTACGTAATGACGTCACAAATATGACGTAAATTTCAGTTTTTTATGAATTTTGCAGAAAAATGTACAATATTTCGTCGATATTTTAAATAAAAGTCACCGAGCGCATGTGCGTTCAGGATAAATATTTTGATATAATGTGTAGAATGATAATATCAATGAAATATGTCAATATTGTTCCTGAACACACATGCGCTCTATAAATTTTAAAGCTTAAATTGTTGAAATTTTGTCCATTTTGTCCTCTTTCTGAAAAAGGATATAAAATCGGACTAGTCTGTGACGTCATAAAAACAGAAATTGTGAATACACTGCTCTGGAACTATAATATTTTCTGTTAACTTATATTTCTCGTACAATTTATTGAATTCAGCACATTTCAGGAAGTTTTCAAAATTTGACTTTTGTGGGGGCAAACATATGCAATATACCGCATATAGTTCTTTAAAACCAGAAATCTATGTCGAGACTGTAGCTCTACTGGTTTGTACTTACAATATCGAAAGAGACAGGCACGTAGCATCGTTTTTGAAAGTGGGGGGGGGGGGGCAACCAGAGAAAAAAATTTACTTACCTGTAAAAGCTGACAAGCAAAAAAAAAAAAAGGAATTCGTCGGGAGGGGCTGGGGGGGGGGGTTGAGGGGTAGTGGCCAACTTTTTCCAAGCCCAACTTCCTTTCACTTCCAATTTTTGGCATACTGTGATGAAGTTGACTTTTGTTTAGTTAATATTATTTATGTTTGATTTTGTGTTTTCCTTGCAAGTTTTGGTGGTTATGCGTTTCCGTACTTTTGATGGTGTGTAGATAAACTAAATTTAGAAAACTGGTCGGTCAGAAGGAAAGCGACGCGTGGCAGTGAAAGAGGCGTTGTGCCACGCCACATCTACAGTTCTGGTCACCATGGACGTTCTTATATATAGTGAATTCTAGAAATAAGTCTGGAACCGGTAGCCAGGGAACGGTGAATTTCTGTGAGTGGTCATTTCTGTTTTTCTCCAGCCGGTAAGCTTGTTTTCGTTACTATTTATAGGAGTTTGTTACTTTTTGTCTGTATCTTGTTTTGTGATATGTAGGTGTTTATATTCTGTTATTTGATTGTATTCTAGAAAAGTCGTTTAATGTACTTTAGTGCATAGGGCATAGAGTATACGAGGGGCTAAGGGCTTAGGACGGCAGATGTAGAGTGGTCAGTTTGTGTCCAGGACCGGATCATACGGAGAGGCGGCGGCGGCGGCACTACATATCGCATGTACGTGTACTACGTCCTACCAGACTAATGGGAACACCATAGCGTCCGTCTAACGGAGGTATAGATGACTGTTGAGACGTTATATGAGGAAGACCTGTGAGTCCGGCGGTCTAGACGGTCAGTGAACGTGGTGTCGACTCAGCGGTGTATGGAGGCCCAGTGATGCCGATATTAGTGTTGAAATAGGAACGGTTTTCAGACAAACTCCCAATTTGGTTTATAAAAATATAATTCTAAAGTTATATTACAGTGAACAGTATTGAAAGTATAAATTCTTTTTTGAACTTTTTAAAAACAACTTGAAGTTAATTATTGTTTAATACAAAAGTAACTGTTTTCATTAAACAAGTTTTGTTTTGATATTTATTTCTGACACGCGGCTTTAAGTTCATTGTTCGTAGGCGTGACAGTTTATTCTTTGTAAAGTTATTTTTTTTCTTTCTCTGTGTGAGTGTTTGCGAGTGTGGTGTATGTAAGGTTTTTGTGTTGTTTTTTGTTTGTTTATTCATTTGTTTCATCTGTAAAATAAATTTAGTTTTGTTTAATAGATTCTACAGTGTTTCGTTTTCTTCCGGACTACACAAAATCCAAAGGAACTCATTACACATACAATACTACCTTTCCTTCATATCACTATACTGTGGTAAGAAGTGGGGGAGCCAACCAACCTTTCAGTGGACATTTTCAATAATAAAGGTGATGCTGAGAAAAAAAGCCCCCCCCCCCCTCCCCACCCACCCCACCCTGTTGCTACATGCCTGAGAGAAAAGTAGCAGTTGGGGCTTTAAACTTTACCAAAGCAATAAACAGATTTCAGAATAATGATCCTTGATCATGTCTTTTTTGCCAAGATTGCAATAAGACTACAACTGTAGCAGCAGCTCTTGATAAATTTTACAGAATTTTCAATATTAGTTACCATGGCGACATCAATCATCAAAAAACTGATACATGTAATTATGTATCTCAGTGTAGTCTACTTGACAAGTGTAACGTGCAAGGGAGGTCACTGCCTGTGAACCCCCGCGGACTCGTAACCGTGATAGAAACGAATAGCCCTGAGAAGCTGCAAATATGTACAATACGCAGTCTTAATCACTTGGCACTGCGTATATAAGGTTATACTGGTAGCGAACAAGTGACACTGGCAGGAAAGTCCACACACCAGTGCACTTCCACAAGAGTCAAGCAGGGATGACCGCACACTTGTCCTTGTGCAGTGACAAACAGGGATGACCACACACTTGACACTAAGACACAGTTCTAGAATAGAGACACTGGTAGGGATGTCCGCACACTATTGCTCTACTACAAGATGCAGAGAGAGATGTCCACACAACTGATCTTGCGCAGCAACAAGCAGGGACGTCCGCACACTTGCTACTTTAGATGTCAATTACAGAGCAGGGATGACCACACACTCTGTCAAGCACTAAGCAGGGATGACCAGACACTTACTACTTAGAACAGTACAATATAATAAAAAGGAAGTCCAACACTTACATGTACTCACGTTTTGTTAGATTTTATCTCTGAAATCTCTCCTCGTATAATTGCCAGTAAAAACCCTATCTTAATACCATATCAAATACTTAGTGATTTTTATTTACAAACTAATAAAAACACTAATTAAGCCTTCAATCAACAAACTTTTATCAATCCAACTAGAGAAACATACAATAATTATTATTGATAACTTCAATTCAAATTCAACACTAATTAGGTATTTATTTAAGCACATATATAATAAGTAATAACAACGACAATGGCGATAACTTTCGCTGTAATAAAAATATAAGAAAACAGCTTTCCGCTTCTCTTGCATGCAAAATTATATTATAATCTGACTAAACCTGTATTTGGAGTAGCACGTTGAAAGTATTTCACAGAAATTTCTATTTTTAGCAACCAAGGCATCATCGTTCATCGAAATCAAAAACCGATATACATGTACAAAATTATGTATCCTAGTGTAGTCTATTTGTGTGCCAAGTTATATTGAAATCAGACCAAAACTGTAGGAGGAGTAGCATTTTTAAAAATTGTTTACAGACAGACAGACGGACGGACGCATTACTATCGCATAACCTCTTCTGGTCTCTGATTGGCGAAGGGCTTTTGGAGTTATGGCCCATATTCTCAAAAGTTTACGCACACCGTACAAATGGCCATAGCATTTGAGTCGTTGGCTCACAAGAGCTAAAAATAGAGATGGGCTACTGAAATATAACCTGTTACCGAATGTTCAGTTAAATTATCATTTTCCACAACATTCTTAAAATATTTTCCTGCAATTGTTTAATGCCATGTTTTAGAAAACATGTATTTCATGATGGATTATTCCACAATGACATTTTTGCAATTTTATATTTCTTATTCTAACAGCAACAAAAAAAAAAAAAGAAAGAAAAACGGTTAAATAGATAAATTGATGGATTTGACTAACTTTCAGATTTGACTAACTTTCAGTTTGCACTGATTCCAATGATCCTACTGGTGCTGACTACTGGGGAACGAAGAACGTGACGGTCAATGGTAGAACGTGTCAACGATGGGATTCACAGAGTCCGCATTCCCATACATTCCCTAACAACCCGGTATTGATTTATTCACAGGCTATTCTTTTTCTTGTTATGACCCGCTTCGAAAAAAGGGTGGGCATATTGCTTTGCTGCTGTCTGTCTGTCGGTTGGTTTCTCGGTCCACTTAGTTTCCGTTCATTTTTTTCAAAACCGTTGCACATACTGAAATGAAATTTGATATACAGATTTATCAGATAAATATCTAGGCCAAGTTTTGTTTTGGGTAGGATCAGGCCATATGCCCTTTGAACATAGAAAAAAGTCCAATTATATGCCGTTTCCGTTCTTTTTCTTCGCAGAGGTTTCACCTCCTGAAATGAAATTTGTAATTCAAATTTATCGGATGAATATCTAGGTCAAGATCTGTTTTGGGTACAGTCGCTTCATTTTGAACAGTTTTGCCCTTGGACTTAGAAAAATTCCAATTATATGACATTTTTGTTCATTTTCTTCGCAGAGTTTGCACATACTGAAATGAAATTTGGTATACAGATTTATCAAATGAATATCTACGTCAAGTTCTGTTTTGGGTAAAGTCGATTGCGTCATTTTTGACAGACTTCTACCCCTTGGACTTGGAAAAATTCAAATTTGGGAGAGGGGGCATGTGTTTTACAAACATCTCTTGATTTAAGTGAATGTAATAATATTGCTTTTAATTGAAGATGGAATCAAAATAATTGGAAAACTGACATTTTCTTTTATCTAAAAAATACTCAATAATGTCAATACTGTACATATATCTTCTATATGAATATTTACTTCCCAGTGAGATGAAATTATAAGATACAATGATCTTAATATCAGAAGAGGTTTATTTTTTAAAGAATGTTATCGATCAAGTCAATTTCAAATGATTTTTTGTCGGTCTTCCTGCAGGAAAATTTCTGCCGTAATCCGGATAATGTACAGCGACCTTGGTGCTATACAACTGACTCCAGCATCCGGTGGGAATATTGTGATATACCTGTGTGCTAGACATTAATAGATTGAAAGTATCATTTTCTGATTATCAAAACCAGGAAAGTGAATTCTGCTGCTGTCAGGTGTTAGATTTTTATTTACCCTTTTAATTTTTACAACTGTCTGAAGTTTTTTTTTTCTATTTTCCTCGT